CTTCTTATCGGACATAACATTATATGTAAATAATAAATATATAATCTAACTATATTTTAAATTTTTATGATACGGAATACATCCTTTAATTTAATAATAAAATTAAATCACTTTTAATCCAGACGAAACACATTATTCAGTTTAATAACATTATAGTCAAACTCATACGAAAAGTCTAACATATAAAGAATAATCACTTGTAGAAGTACTATTGGTCTTTGCATGTGTTAGTTCTATCTTTCTTGAAGACATCCAATAAAATTGGAACGAAATTTCTAGAGATTGCACTAAAGTGTAAAAACAATTAAGAAGAAGTGTGGTGTGAGAGTTTTATTGTGAAAATAATGTCACATAAATATCTTTGTCTAATCAATGGACCAACAACGTAGTAGTTGACCCTAGAAGTTGTGAAATGTTTGTGGCCACGCCTCCTGGAGATATATATATATATATATATATATATATATATATATATATATATATATATATATATATATATATAGAGGCGGGTTCAGGTGCGGCAGTGTCTTACGGTGCGGCAACACCAATAGTTCACCAAATATGCACCATCAACGTTAGGAAATACACCACACAAAACAGAGTAAACAGAGCCCTGCATCACCAAACACACACCATTAGGTGTGAGTAAAAACACCATACACTGTTCGGAAATACACCATTGGGGGTGGTAAGTTATATGGTGTGTTTTTTTGAGTCTGTGGTGTATTTTGTGATGTTTTATTACATTTCATTGGGGTGTGTTTTTATTACACTGTTGGTGCATATTGTTAACACTGTTGGTGTATTCTGGAATTTGACCGCACCGCCGCACCGTAAGACCCCGCCGCATATGAGCACTCTTCTATATATATATATATATGTGTGTGTGTGTGTGTGCGCGCGCGCAGAGGCAATGACGACAAAATTTCAAGAAAATTAAATATTAAATATCTCTAAATAATTTAACATGTAAATGTTGCCACCGAATCCGGAGATAGCAGAATTATATTGGACGTCGTCTAAGAAGAGACTAGTTGGAAATTTAAACACGCCAGCAAGAATTTAATGAAATATTCTCCACAATAATATATAGAAATATTCTATTTCGTAATATTTGAATAATACTTTCGTCATATATATTTTTTACTGATTGGATTTTCAAAAAATGTTGAAATATGTTCAGTCTCAATAATGTCACGTGGACATAATCTTTTTTTTTTTTTTTTACAAGGTAATGTAGATGATGTGTTTTGTCTTAATTAATAGTTCAAATCGATTGTTAGATTAGTATATATATTCTTTGGTGACAAGAGAAATCCTGAACTATCATTTGAATGTATGCAAATAATTAAGGATTCGTTTGTAAATTCGAACAATGACTTTTGAAAGTTATTTTTCAATATTTGGCTATCAACGAATAATGAAGTTAACAAAAAATACTCATTCCAATCAAAGAAAAATTTATTCATCTTAGATAAAATGTCTCTCGAGATTTTTACTCAGAAAATATTTTTTAAATTTTTATCTCACACTCTATTCTCTCTCCCATTTCGGTAGTGTCAAATTGGTTGTTATACAATGGACCACACGATCCACACAATGCTATGTGGATCATGATCCATTGTCAAATGAAACTGTAACAGAGTTAAAATGATACTTTAGTATTGTTAAAATTAAACTAGTGTGTGTGAAACATGAAACTAAAAAATAGAGATTATGCAATAACGTATAATGTCATATGAAATTGTAGTAGAATTAAAATGATACTTTAGTGATGCTATAATAAAACTAGTCTGTGTGAAATATGAAACTAAAAACAAAACTCGTACAATAACATATATTGTCAAATGAACATGAATTGTACTTATTGTCGACTTGTCTAGTACATGGTGAAAGGAAGAGAGAAGTCGAATGTGAAAGCAGGAAGAAGAGAAAATGGTTTATTATCAATCACATCTAACAGCCAACAACGAACAAGTATATATATGCGATATCAATCGCGTCTACAAGTATGCGATATCAATCGTGTCTACAAGTATGCGATATCAATCGCGTCTACAAGTATGCGCTGTAAATATATGGCGGTTATAACTACCAATACAAGAGAAAGACACAAAAGTCCTTATGAGCATTTTATATCATCTGATACCCCCCTCCCCATAAACTGGCTCATGGAGATCCTCGATGCCCAGTTTAGATTTGAAGACATGAAAAGCAGTAGAAGGTAACGCTTTAGTGAGGCCGTCAGCGACTTGTGAAGAGGAGGAAACAAGCAATAGTTTGATGAGTCCTTGGTTGAGTCGTTCACGCACAACGTGGCAGTCTATGTCGATATGTTTTGTCCGTTCGTGAAAAACATGGTTCTCGGCAATAGCAATGGCCGATTTGCTATCACAGAACACGCGCGGCAGGCTTGATTGGTTTGCATTGCAAGTCACTGAGCAGAGACGTTATCCATTGTGTCTCACAGACAGTAGAAGCAAGAGCCCGATACTCTGCCTTTGAAGATGAACGGGAAACGGTCATTTGCTTCTTTGATCACCATGAGATGAGAGCAGAGCCTAGGAAGATGCAAAATCCTGTAATGGACCTGCGAGTTTCTGGGCAAGAAGCCCAGTCAAAGTCGGCAAACACATTCAACTGAACTACAGTGTTTGTTAGATACAAAAAGCCCTATCCAGGAGCTCCTTTAATGTAGCGAAGAACACGGTGAGGAGCACTCATGTGTTCAGATGTTGGTGAGCCTACAAACTGACTCAATTGTTGTGTGGCATACGCAAGATCTGGCCTTGTAGCCGTTAGATATAGTAAACGACCAACAAGTCGCCTGTATGGAGCTGCATCAGTGAGAGGGGAGCCAGTATTCTTAGTCAATCGTTGTCCAGGAACTATGGGAGTGGCAACCGGTTTGCAGTCGAGGAAACCGGTTTCTTCTAAGATATCAAGAGCGTACTTTCTTTGACATATGTTCAAGCCATTGTCCTTTATGTGAGCCTCAATGCCCAGAAAATACCCCAAGCTTCCCAAATCTTTGATTTTGAATTCACTGTCAAGGAACGATTTTAGATCTTGAATGAGGGATAAGCTGGAACTGGCAACTAGAATATCATCCACGTATATTAGAATGGCTATGAAGGATGCATCACATCCTTTAGTAAAGAGGGAAGGATCGTATTTCGACTGATGAAATCCATTGTGAATGAGTGCGGCACTTAGCTTAGCATTCCACTGTCGGCTAGCTTGCTTTAAGCCATAAAGCGATCGGAGAAGCTTACACACTTGACCAGGGTGCTGCTCTTGGAAGCCAGGAGGAAGCACCATGTAAACTTCCTCATCTAAATCCCCATGGAGGAAAGCGTTATTGATGTCTAGTTGATGGATATACCAACTTTGGGAAGCTGCCACAGCTAAGAAGGTGCGGATGGTGGTGATCCTTGCTACGGGGGAAAAAGTTTCAAGGTAGTCAATTCCCAGCTGTTGAGTGTATCCTTTGGCTACTAGTCTAGCCTTATATCGTTCCACCGATCCATCCACTTTAAGCTTCACTTTGTAAACCCACTTGCATCCAATTGGAGTTTTCCAGGTGGAAGATCAACCAAAATCCATGTGTGGTTGTCTTCTAGTGCTTTAATCTCAGTAGACATAGTCTCCTTCCAACAATTATCTCGTATGGCCTGATTATATGTTCTTGGTTCTTTGATAGAGGTGACTACCATTGCATACTGCATAAGTGGTGTGGGAAGATGACTGTAAGAGATGACTCTTGATAGCTTGTGTGGAGAAGTGCCTTGTGATGCAGCTGCATCACAGTAATAATCTAGGAGCCTGCTTGGGGGATAACGATCTCTGGCAGAATGTCGAGGAAGAACCTCAACATCAGTTGGAACTGGAAGTTGAGTAGCAGATAGAGAATCTGAAATATTTCTGCTTGGCTGATCACTGATTGGTTGTCCATTCCCAGGTTGGATAATAGAATCTGAGCATATATTCCCATTTGACAAGGTATCATCTGGATTTGCAACATATGCATGAACATACTAATCAATAAATATTATTCCCAGAACAAGATGGAATATTGAGCTGAACATTGTCCTTATGCCAATCAAGGTCCATGGCAGTAGGAATATTTGGGAGTGAGGGCTCATGAGAAGGCTGCTTTTTGATTGATTCAGCTACCATAGGAAATTGAGACTCATAAAAGGTGACATCCCGAGATACAACAATTGTTTCATCTTCCAAATCATATAGAAAGTACCCTTTGATCCCAACTGGTGCACGTTTGGGTTGATTCTTATCTTTGGTATCCGTTTTTAACTCTTTAAATTGTTAAGTAATTAAATTGCATCGTACAATTCCCTGTGGGATCGACCCTTGTCTTTGCACGCTATTGCTACAATGACTCGTGCACTTGCAAGGACATTAATTATAAAAATTATCCATCAGATATCCAATAAAAATATATTTCTTTCCCCGTGGTGCCATTTTGTGTCTTGCATTAGAGCTTGTAGCAGCATAACATAGGCAACCAAAGACCTTAAGAGTGTGAATGTCTGGTGGACTGCCATACAATCTTTGATAAGGAGTTGAAAGGCCAATGGTGGAGGATGGAAGTCTGTTAATGAGAAAAACGGCATGCATCACACAATGGCGCCCAAAAACTTCACAGGGAGATTAGCTTGAAATCGTATGGATCTAGCAACATTGAGAATGTGTTGATGTTTGCATTCCACAACGGCATTTTGTTGTGGGGTATTCACACACACGAATGTTGATGTAGTATGCCATGTTCCAAAAAAAATTCATCCATTCGAAATTCAACTCCATTATCGCTTCGAATGGTTTTGATCACCTTGCCAAATTGAGTGACCACGTATGCATGAAAATGTTTGATAAACTGCCGTGTTTGAGCTTTGGTTTTCATCAAATGAATCCATGTAAAACGGGAATAATCATCAACTATGGTAAGAAAATAATATTTTCCATTCAAAGAACAAATCGGGAAAGGCCCCGAAATGTCAACATGTATCAAATCAAAGAAAGAAGTTGAGCTAGTAGTGCTTAAAGGAAAGGGAGAGCGTTTATGTTTAGCTCAGTTACAGACATCACAAGCTAAGATGTTTCCTTTAGAAGTATCTATATCACATAGAAAATGGATCTTGTTGGCTGGGAAGTGGCTTAACCTTTGATGCCAGATTTCCAGGCTACTACAATGTGCAACAAGGTGCCTATTCTGCACATTTGGTTCCTCCATTATGTAGAGATCTCCCCTTTCTTTAGCTATACCAATTGTCTACCCAAGAGTCCCCTGAATCACACACTGTTTGGCCATAAAAATTAGTTTATAGGCAGTGTCTTGTATGAGTCTGTTCACAGAAATAATATGCAATGCTTCTTTTAAGTATAGACTTTCATTAAACCTTGCCTCTCCTATATGTTGAACTGCTATGCACTGACCAGTGGGAAGGTTCACTTCAACATCATTAACCACACGATAATTGGTGAAACAATCAACGGAACACACTATGTGATTAGTGGCCCCTGAATCAATAATCCAGGTAGAAGCATTTAAGAATAAAGAGTTAATAGAGAGCTTGCCTTCACCATTTGTATGTAGCTCTCTAAAGTTGGGAGTCAAGGTTGTTGCAGCAGTAAGGTTGGGACTAGATCCGGATGGTTGAGGACTGGATCCGGATGATTGAGCTGAACTGTTCTGCAAAACAGAAATGAGCTTATGCAGTTGTTCATGAGTGATTCCCAGGTCTGTATTGTTCATGATAGCTGCTGCAGTTTGTTGCTTATTTTTCGACTTATAACCTTGGATCCAGCCAGGAGGAAAACCGTGTTTCTTGTAACACCTTTTCACTGTGTGGCCAGTCATACCACATTATGAACACTTTGCTTTAGAAACACCATTGTTCCTTCTATTATTGAAAGAAGTTGCAGCCACTGTCTCCTCATTCAAGGTACTTTGGACATCATTAGACTGAACAATGTCTAGATTTCCTAGATTCAGATTCCTCAAATCGATCTGCCTCTCCAACTTTTCAGCCATAACAAAAACCTTATATACTTCCGGTAAGGGATCTAGGATCAACACACTTGACTTCAAACTATCATAATCATCATTTAAGCCTTGAAGGAATAGGATTACCTGATCAGTCTCCCTCTCACTTATGATGATTTCAACAAGATCACACGAGCATCTTGGATTGCATTTGCATAAAGGAATAGGCCTTAGGTTGTTCATCTGTTCCCACAAGGTTCTGCTCTTAGTGTAGTAGTCATTAATAGAATGATTTCCCTGCTTCAAACTGTGGATTTCACTCTGTAAGCTTGAGATTCTCTGTGCGTCTCTCTGCGAATATCGCTTCCTCAAATCCTCCCATATATCTCTTGCGTGATCGAAGTGCATCACGCTTTACACTATCGAAGGATGTAGCGACTTGAAGATCCATGAGCAGATCAACAAGTTGCACCTCCTCCAAGCTGGATAGCGCTGCTGATCTCTGCGTGGTGGCGTTGTGCTTTCGTCTACCAATGTCCATTTATTTTTCACTTCCAGTGCAATTTGCATCGAGACACTCCAAGTGCCATAGTTGGCGCTGCCGGTCAACGGCGGAGACACGAGAATGGCCGTCGGACTGTCGTTGGCGTTTAAGAGCAGATGATCTTCGAGATCTCCTGTGTTGAGGTTTCCGTGATGCTGAGGACTCAACTCAGATGTTGGATGAATCGGAGGCTGAGACTGGTTGATCGGCGTAGCAGCATTGCTGGTGTCGCCAACGCCGGTGAGGACGGTGGCATAGTTTCGCCGCTGCTCTGATACCATGTTGACTTGTCTAGTACATGGTGAAAGGAAGAGAGAAGTTGAAGGTGAAAGCAGGGAGATGAGAAAATGGTTTATTATCAATCACGTCTAACAGCCAGCAGCGAACAAGTATATATATGCGATATCAATCGTGTCTACAAGTATGCGATATCAATCGCGTCTACAAGTATGCGCTGTAAGTATATGGCGGTTATAACTACCAATACAAGAGAAAGACACAAAAGTCCTTATGAGCATTTTATATCATCTGATACTTATAATTATATTTCAATGTTACTATAATTAAACTAGTGTGTGAAAAATGAAAATAACAAAAATAGAGCTCATGTAATAACTTATATTGTCAAATGAAACTATAGCAGAATTAAATAATACTTTTTAGTTTTCGTTGTTATAATGAAACTAGTGTGTGTGAAAAATGAAACTAAAAAAAAAAAAAAAAAAACAGATAAATATTGCCAAAGGAAATTGAAGTGTAATTAAAATGATACACCATTATTTTGCTTTATGGTCCCTGATGCTACATAGACCATGATCCACATTAAAATTTACAGGTTGGTCGGTCCTTTATTTGGTTATTATTTAAACTATTTAAACTAGTTTAGGTTATTCCTATCAAAATAGGAAAATAATATATGCATGTACATGTATTCTCATTTTCTACTTCCAATTCAACTTTTACTCCACACTTAAAATTTTGATGTAGACATATTTACAGAAACTCACATGAAGAAAATAACCTATCAATATTCGTCACATCAGAAAGTAAATTTAAGGGAGTGAGATTTGGAAATACATGTAGTAAAACTCATCAAAATATGGGTTAGATTAGGTTGGACAAAACAATAAAAATATTAGTTCAGCTCGGCTCGCCACATAGCCCAAAGTATTAAAAAATATTTAATTTTTTCTTCATTTTCTTTAATTTATAATGAACCATTAAAATATGAATTAGGCTAGACCAGACAAAACAATAAAAATATTGGTGCGATACATACCCAAAAAAAAAAATTGTTCTTTAATTTCTTAAGTTAAGAGTTATTACATTTATTAATTTCTGATTACAAATGAGTTGAGCCGGACATAACCAAGCAATAAAAATTTAGTTTGGCTCGACCCCACATTCCAAAAAATATGTTTTTTTTTTCCTTCATTTTATTTAGTTCAAAATTATTATATTTATCAATCTATGTATTTATTTTTATTACAATATGTTACAAGTCAAAAATATTTAGCTACATCTTTTTATTTTAATTAGAGTTAATTTTCAAAATGGTCCTCCGAATATGGTCTTTTTTCAAATTAGTCCTTTGACTTTTAATTTCTCTAAAACGATCCTCCGACTTTTGAATTTTAAGCCAAAATGGTCACTGTTAGCTTTGGTGTTAAGTTAGTGTTAAAATGAAGGGTAAAACTGGGAATTTAGGTTTTGCACTCCAATTTAAAACAATACAGAGTATGTGATTCATTTCAGCGGTATGCGCACATATTTTTTCAAATTAGGTTTTTGCTCTCCTAAATCTGCAATCAAAATGTGGGATAATCAATTAGAAGACCAGAAATCTTTGCCTTGCGAAGTTTATGGATGAAGCTGAAGATGAACTTTTTTTGCCTTCTAGTTGATTATCCCACATTTTGATTGCAGATTTAGGAGAGCAAAAACTTAATTTGAAGAAATATGTGCGCAGACTGCTAAAAGGAATCACAGATTGCTTTGAATTAGAGTGCAAAACCTAAATTTCCAGTTTTACCCTTCATTTTAACACCAACCTAACACCAAAGCTAACGGAGGACCATTTTGGCTTAAAATTCAAAAGTCAGAGGACCACTTTGAAAAAATTAAAAGTTAAGGGACCAAATTGAGAAAAGGCGATAGTCGGAGAACCATTTTAGAAATTAACTCTTTTAATTATTAGTAATCTTTAATTTATAACTGTTTTAAGTTTTTATTATAATTTTATTTTACTATAAATAAAACAGAGTATTTATTATCGGTATTAAAATAATTAATATTTTATTATAAAAAAAAATAAGTTTGTAATAGATTTATGCACATATTTTTTTTTTAAAAAAAAATCAACAGAAAAATATAATTTTCTAACACCCAACCAAACAAAAATATATAGTTTTTAACTTTCAGGCCAAATGTTAGAAAATAAAAATATTTTTAAAAAAGTGATTCATTTTACAAAAATCATTTTTTTAAAAATTATTTTTCATTTTTACAAATAAACCCTAATTGAAGTTCTAATCGCAACAACACAATATTAACTTAGCATATTTATTATTCATATATTATACACTTAATGAAGGGAATTGAATCACCTATTACCATTAATAATTTGTTACTATATCAAAAAGTTTGAAGGGAAAGGACACAATTTTTTTTTGGATAACCAATGTTTCCCAGTTTCACCAAACTATATCCTGGACTCCATTAACCTACCTTAAGCTTATGAGGTAAATCAAGTAAATTTAATTTTGATATTCAATACGGAACTATATACTTTTGTGTAAAAGGAGTCAAGCTCAACTCAAACCTAAATTCTAAATATCTGTGGTAGGAATTGAACCATACCCAGATACCATATTACTAAAAGTATATTTTAAATAAAATTTCTCATCCATTACACATTTATACCAATGCCCGGATGCAACGAAACAATACTATTCTTGTGGTTCTTCTTTGGGAGAAATGTTGTATTTATTGCCACTTTTTAAAGGAAATTTAGAGAGAAAAAAATGGAGTGGTCCATCTGGCTCTTAATTGCTTTACCTTTTCAACAGCATTAATGCACGGGTACGTCTTGGAAGCAATTAAAGGAAAAGGAAACTGGTGAATCATAAATAACTTTTTTTTTTCTTTTTTCATTTTTTTATCCCATATGATCGAACCCCCTCAAGGCTCAACCCCTTGGCTAAGAACAAAAATAATGAGGCTACTTTTATTTAGTAACTATAAAGTTAAGTTTGAGTTCTAATAGAAATAGTTTATTAACATTTTTTGTTTGAGTTGGACAATTATAACATTCTAGGTTGATTAGCTCTTTATGATCTTTTCCCGGGTAAGGTTTAATTTATTAAGTGTACACCCCTGCGTAATTGCTGTGAATTTAATTTCCTAGTCACAAAAATAGTAGAGTGGGAACAAATTCAGTAGAGTTGGTCGGACTGTTATGTTGGTACCTACAAGGGTGAGAGTTGCCCATTGGTATTTTCGGTTTGAGCTGAATAACTATGGACAACTTAAGTTGTTTACATCATTGTGGTCATTTACTGGCTAGATTTCGATACATGAATTTTGTTGAACACATGTTTATGCAACAATACTTTCAAAAAGTTACCTTTAAATGATTTTAACTAGAACTTGAGTGGATTAGTCTTATCATGTTATACTAGTTTTTTATGTGCATTGCGCGATTGAGATAATGCCCAATGTTTTTTTTTTAAATAAGTACTTTAAAGTATATTAAGGCAAGATTATATTGAAATTGTTCATGCATAGATAATTGAAGGTTGAATTTGCGTATTTAAATAGGTAATTCTTCTCCCAAAGGTTGAGTCCCCTACCCCAAGGGCCCCCCACACTCTGACCCGACAGAGCATTGTAGGAAGTTGTAAATCACGGTGACTCAATGGTTCAGCAGACAAGACCAAATGCCGGTGCGAACAAGGAATCTGCCCACTTTGGACATAATTCCCGCACTGCCGCCGCCGAGGTTCAAACTTTGGTCTCTTCTCCCAAATACTGCCCACTAAACCATTGAGCTAAGCCCGTGCGGGTTAAATAGGTAATTCTAAGTTTACAAATGCAAGATAATATAGTCAAGATTGATTATAATTGTCAATAAAATAATTGTATAGGTATGGTTGAAACCAAATACGGGACATAAGGGAGAACAAATAAAAATTAGGGCATAAAATATTAAATATATACTAATATTGTTTGAGGAGATTTCGACATTAGGATTTGTGGTTAAGTTCTATTAAGACTTTAATATTAGAATTAGATTAATGGTGTAATTATAATTCTATATTAGACGTTAATA